TAAGTCGAGGACTATATTAGTATTATATATTTTATTGTTATAAATTGTAATATCTAGCAAGAAACAGTGAATAAATAAAACTTGCTGCCCTAACCATGGGCATCTACTCCTTACAGAAAAATGCTGCTAAATGGTGCTTGCCTTATTTTCTGTGCACAGGACAACTTAAGGAAAAGGCTTGAGGGATTCATCAAACTTTCCCTTCCACAAATGTCACCAGCAAGTGGAAAACATCCACCAATCACTTTCTTAACTGGGTTGTGAATGACCGGGAGACAAGTTTTGAGAAAGGGCTATACAACACCTGTCAGTTGTTTTCTGGCTACTTTGAAAGAGGGGAATATTCATTGGTGGGATTCAGCCAGTTTGCACCAGTTCGGCAGAACCGGTAGCTAATTTTTTGTTCCCCAGGCCCAGAATAGATTTCCGAAAGCGGCATCCACACAGAGAAATAGATTTCCGAAAGCGGCATCCACACATATTTGAATCTCACCACTGGGAATATTGCTCTTTTGAAAGAGTACTTAACTTGGGTTGGGGCTTCTTTTGAACATTGCTTTAGTTTCCTTGCATAGGTCTTCCAGCCCCCTCTCTCTTCAAAACTAGCCTAAAACAGTTGATGGACACTGGGGAGTGGGTTGTTGCATAATCAGATAACAAAGTGCCTCTTTCCTGCTTCATCCTGCACCTCTTCCTCTTCCTCCTCTACTGATCTTCCACTCTTTGGGCTGATATAGATCCAGGACCTGTAGATCCTGGAGGACAGGGGAGAGGAGAACTGGTTTGAAAGATCCAACAGTCTTGTGCTTCCTAAACCCAACTGGCCATAGAAGGAAAGGCTCAGAGTTTGGAAGGCACTGAAGTGGCTAGGGGCCCTGGATTGGTTCTGCTCCCTTAGAATCATCTGATGAAATAATGGATAAATAGCAGGTGAAATGTCAGGATATACCCAAGTATCTCTCTTTTTAAAAAGGGGAGGGACAGAAATGTTGCTTTACAGCAGTGTTTCTCAACTTTGATAATTTTAAGGCATGTGGACTTCAGCTTCCAGAATTCCACAGCCAGCTTTGCTGGCTGTGGAATTCTGGGAGTTAAAGTTCACATGCCTTAAAATTGTCAAGGTTGAGAAACACTGCTTTACAGTGAATTTCAGAGCATAAGGATCAGCAAGTTCTTAGATTCCGACTTTTCAAAACTAAGTGCCAATAAAAGGAGTACTGTTCTGTAAGTTGACACCCTTTCCAAAAGGGGATCTTTTCATTATGTCTTTTACTATCTGCTATTTCTAATCCTCTTCCCTTTCTTTGTGACAAGCTCTCCAAGATTTTCTCTGCAATACAAATGGGGCACTTGTAACTTTCCATGTATTGCTGAACTACAATTTTCAGAATCCTTCCTCATCGGCATGTTTTTCAGTAACATATAGGTCACAGGTTCTTCACTCAACTCTCACTTAAAAGCATTTCTACTCTGCTTTCACTTTACACTTTTACTTAAAGCATCTTGTGTTCTCAAGTAATATTTTCTTTCAGTTTCACTGGTCTTCCAGATGCATTATTTAGTGTACCTAATAGGATTTTTGCCTCTTCTGTAGGTTTTCATCTTTGCTCTGCATCTTTCACTGATATGAGACATGCATACAGACACAATATACTGTACTGGGGACTATTTTATGTCAAAGGAATGAAAAAAACCCTTAAATTCTTCTAGGGGAGGATTAATTGTAGGCAACTAGAAATGAACCTGAGTCTAAGAAGTGTTGGTTCTTTTCTTATAATATGTGTTTATTAGAACAAATAATACTTTTTTGTCTGGCACGGTGATACTGTAAAAAAAAGTGCAAATGGAAATTTGAAACAGTCATTTAATTTTAAAAAGCTATGACCTCAGGTTTATCACAGGCTTTCTAAATCATTCTTTGCTTTTATATAAAGCTAAACTTTATTGGTAGCATATTGGGTGAGATGAAGTTTATCAGTTGTAGCACAATCTAACGCATGGTATATTTTACAAATCTTAAGAGCTTACTCTTAGTTTTGATCATTAGAAGAGTGGGGCGTCTCAGTTTTAATGTGGATTCTTGTTACTTTAAGAATTAGTTGGGTCTCTTGTAAGTCACAGTGTCTTTGAATAGCAGCTTACATTATAGTATTACAGTGAGGTTGAGCCAGCGTTAGTGTTCAAAGCTTTGCACAAACTGGTTTCAAAAGCCTTCCTTAGTTTGGAAAGTAGGGAATTCCCATCCCACCCCCATCCTGGATAATTCTGTAAAGAAGACACAGTAAGAAGCATTGTGTCTTAAATAACTTAATAGCCACAAATTCTAGATGTAAGATTGTTTGTTCAGACGCTGCACTTGGTAATGGTGCAACCAAGTGAAACGGCGTTGGGATGCTGAACAGCTTCCCTTACTTTCTGTAGGTGGACATAAGAGAAAAAGTGGCTTGGATAGAATTATCTGGGAAATATTCCATTCAGTACACAGATTCTTAAGCCTTGGCAAATCTTCTACCATGCTGTGCCAAAGGTGACTATGGATCTACCCTGATTCTTTTTGAGATTCGCAGCCTAATTTGCTCTATTTACATGTTTTAAACAAACACCCAAAAAGAAAAGGGGAAACGTCTACATTACTTTATAGCTCGGCAGGGATGAGCCAGAGATCTGAGAGAGGATGAAACTTGTTTTGGGGATAGACTTGAAAGTGACAAATGGATATAACTAGCTTGCCGAAATAACATTAATGAGGGGGGGGTGTGAAATGGGATTTGGATCCAAATTCTTTTTCTTCTCCCTCTCTATCCAAGGATATTTCCTCTGTGACTGAGCTTGTTTCTAACTTCGGAGCCTGGCTTGGCACAATGTCCGTTGGACAGCAGTGAGTAGATAAAGCCATTCCTTCATTCTGTCCCCACCCTTGCACGTATAAATAAGTGCCAATATCAATACTGCACTGAAACAGTGCTTTGGTGTTACTTTGTATATGCTCAAGGCTTGGGCAGTTTTCTTCAAGTAGCCTTTCCCTCAGGCCTGTTTGCTATCTTGGGTGGGCCTTCTTTGGATTCCTTTGTTTACACTTCCCTTTTTAAATTAGTAATAGTAATAGTGATAAATTAGTGACAGGTGGCCCTTGACTTATGACTACAACTAGAATTTCCATTGCTAAGAAAGCAGCTGTTACATGAAGTCATACCCAATTTTGCGATCAGTTTTGCCATTGTTATTAAGTGACTCACTGCAGTAGATAAGTGCAGAGGTCCCCAACCTTTTGGGCACCAGGGACCGGTTCCATGGAGAGAGATTTTTCCACGGACTGGAGGGTGCGCCATTTTGTGTGCTACCTGCATCCCGTGGATGGGGCTTTGCTTGTTTGTGCGGACCAGTTGCTGGCATGTTGCGGCCCAGTACTGGGCCACAGACCGGGGATTGGGGACCCCTAGATAAGTGAATCAGATGGGTGTTAAGCAAATCCAGTTTCCCCCATTGACTTTGTTTCTTGGAAGCTGACTGGGAAGGTTGCAAATGGTGATCACATGATCTCAGGCTACTGCAACATAACAGACTGCCAAATGCCCAAATTTTGATCACGCCATTGTGGAGATGTTGCAACAGTTGTAAGTTTGAAACCCGGTCAAAAGTCACTTTTTTCAATGTGGTTATACTTCATAAGGTCACTAAACAAATGATTGTAAGTCAAAGACTACCTGTATTTAGAAATGACACAACTCACAAAACATCTGACTATTTACAATAATTAACAGTTAAAACATAAATCAAATACAACAAAGCTAAAAAAGCAATAATCACATAAGGAAAAAAAATCCTATTTACCTAAACATCAAATGGCAAACTATAGGACATGTGCTGCCATTTCATTGTACACTGATGGCATCTGTGGTAAACAAATTTCTAAATGGAATCATGGTTTTAAACAAACATTCAGGATAAATCAGATGCTTCATGACATGAGCACGCTGCACATTCTTGGCACAATATTTTATTGTCTGTATATTTTTAATCCATTTATATCGCTGCCCAACCTGCAACAGCAATTTCGGGTATGCTAACAGAATTTGAAAACTAAGGATACAAAATAAACATTATAAAGAAACACAGCCAAGGACAATAACAACCAACAGTAAGTTGACAGCTCCTGACAGGTTCAACTCACTAGTTATCCAAGCTTTTAAGGCTTTCTGAAAAGCCAGAAGGCCAGTTGAAATTCGATACTGCATTTGATGTAATAAAAAGGAATTAAGCTCCCTTTGGTTTTTCTTGACCTTATTTCTAAGATCGCTGTGCAACTTCTGTATTTTCCCATTTCTACTAAGTCAGAAATGAGCATCTGGTCCTATATGCACTTTCCAAATTTCTTTGGAGTTCCCTTTGCACGGAATCACAATGCATGCGATTAATAAATAGGCCCTTACTTTGCATTTTTATCTATGGCAGCTATGCTTTAAAGGTTGTTCTCCCTTTTGATACTGTGGTTTAAAAAATTTTAATACTTGAGACTGAGAAAAGGCTGCAGCACCAATGTCTTCAGGTATTAGCTATCTGCTTTGGGACTTGTTCTGAGAAAGGAATCCATCTTAACTCGACCATAACTCTTTTTAGCCTTTCTAAAAGCTATAGTTGCCATTGCCCTATCTACAGAATACAAGGTTCTCAAATAAATTTTTAATACTATTTTTTAAGAATGCAGACAGTTCCCCTGCCATCTCTTTCATTGAAGCAGCTCATCCTCTTTACTCTCCAAATACAGCAAAGATTTGCTTTTTTTTCTGTGTGTATGAACAATAACGCAAATTGGGGATTGATTTATTTTTTTAAAAAAACACCAGATTTGGAATTTTTATTGTGAAAGTGTGAGTTAAAAGTTTTTTTAAAAAAGTTTGCCACTGTTGGTTTTGTTTGTTTGTTGCATAAACAGAAAATCAACTTCAACATACAATTATATGAATATTAATGTTTTTAATAATCATTGTCTCTTCTTGCAGGTCAATTTTGTAGTGTGCCAACTGTTTGCCTTGCTGGCTGCTGTGTGGTTTCGAACTTACCTTCATTCAAGCAAAACTAGTCCATTCATAAGGCATGTTGTTGCCACACTCTTGGGCCTTTATCTTGCACTTTTTTGTTTTGGATGGTAAGTAGCTCGATTTTTCATTTCAGTGCTTTTATTTCCTAGAATTAATGTTAGAGTGCTGGATTTTATTTCCAAAACATTAGTGTATTCTTAAAAGAAAGGGATCACGACAGGACCCGTTTATTAAACTTGGATACAATGGGTGACAATGGCTTTAGAGTAATTTTGATGTCTCTGAAATTCTAATTTAATTCTAATGATAACAATTTATCAACAAAGGAGCAGATCAGGGCAGTGTTTTATTTCTCTCTATTATTTAAAACTGAATTGGTACCTGGATTAATAAGCCATTATCATAATATTTCCTTCCTAGGTATGCCTTACATTTTGTTATACAAAGTGGAATTTCATACTATATCATGATCGTTATAGGAGTGGAAAATATGCACAAGTGAGTATTGAGCCATTCATATATCCTTAAGTGAAGTGATATGAATTGCAAGTGACTGGGATTTTAGGTGAAAAGTTATATATGTTATGAAGTAAATGAGTCCTATCCTAGTGTACTCCATATCTTTAATTTTGAGCACAATGTACATTGTCTTATGAGTATTTTAGAATCACTTCCGTGCCTAGATTCACCTTCAGGTGTCTTGTTTATGTAGAAAAGTATCATCCATCTTATCTGCTGTTTAAAATGCCAGAAGCTTATCACACTTACTGTTTGCAGTTGGAAACCCTGGAGGGATGCTGTTATTCTCTGTACCGAGTTGCTAACATGTTTTCATTGCTTCATCGTCAGTGTTCTGACTTCACATTCTTAGTCCCTCTTAAGTACAAAAATCTGTAACAAGATAGCCCAGAAATTTGAGTTTTGATTCATCAGTTTTAAAAAAAGAAAAAAGCACAGTACTTATATCCACAAATAAGCATAACTTGCATGTTTTGTTTCGCGTCTGGGAGTCTCCTGGTTGTCTCTTCATCGCTAGTTGCCTAGTACATGCTTCCTGTTGCCCCTTTGTCTTCTTAATCTGAATTACTATAATATCTATCATTATGTGCAGTGTACGTTTATTATGTGTCTGATAAAACAGAAATCAAGGCAAATCACAACTGCATTTATAAGCTTTAGTTCTCAGCTATGGCTCTTCTTGAGTTATAGATGTTAAACCGGATGGAGGTCTATAGTTGTGCCATAGAACAGGGCTTTTCAACCTTTTCACCCATTGTACCACATTTAGGATATGGCAACATCCGAGTAACCACCCGTCGCCTAGCAAAGTGTCAAAAACGTGATGACCCCCCCCCAAAAAAGGAAAAAAGTGATAAAGTACAGGCAGTCCTCGACTTACAACAGCTCGCTTAGTGACTGTTTGAAGTTACAATGGTACTGAACAAAGTGCCCCCCAAGCCACAGCCGAGCAAGACACCTGCCTGCCTGCCCAGTAGCGTTCTTCCTCCTTTTCATTGTTGTGAGCATTTCTGTTGAGGATTGACAGTGGGGGTGGAGTAGGAGTGTGTGTTTGGTATTTATTCCCGTCTGCTGGGTGGTTACAGCAGGTTTTGGTCACTTCACATGACCCTGGGACACTGTGACCGCCATAAATATGAATCAGTTGCCAAGCATCTGAATGTAAATTACAAGACCCTGGAGATGCTGCAACATTCCAGCTGATCGGTGCTTCTTCTGGGCTCAGCAGAAGTGCCAGGATCAGTGCTGCTTTCCAGCTGATTGGTGCTTCTTCAGGGCTCAGCAGAAGCGCCAGGATCAGCGCCGAGCTCCAGCTGGAGCCTGGCGCTGATCCTGGCATTTCCACTGAGCCCTGACAGCCCCAAAGGAGTTCCGATCAGCTGGAAAGCGGCACTGATCCTGGCGCTTCCGCTGACCCCTGACAGCCCTGCAGCTCCAGCCATCTCTCGCTCAGACTTGTGCGGTGCTGCCACCGGTTCAGCTCATTCCCCTCCCCCGCTACTTTTCTAGGATGGTCGCGTACCACCTGCCAGGTGCCAATGTACCACAGATAGTACCCATACCACTGGTTGAAAAGCCCTGCCATAGAATATGCCACATTCAAACCTATGTGATACAGTTATCATAGTATGTTGTAAAATGTTGAACCTGGCCCATGTATACATTTTATTCCCATCTTGGTGTGAAAATGTGACATTTTTGTGAATTGTGGTAAAAATTAGTTGCGCAACACAGACTCCCTTGGGAAGCCAGTCCTTCATTGACTGGTGAAATTGTAAGCAGTGGTTTAAAAAAAAATTAAGATTTTTATGGGCTATTAAAGGCCTGAAGAGCCTTCTCGACTTCTTCAGCCTTTTTTTTTTTTTTTTTTTTGTTCTGAATATGATAAGACTTCACCTCCTGAAATTCCCCAGTTATTCTGGGCTGGTATTGAAAAAATTTTAATCCCAATATATTTGGAAAGCATCTGATGGGGGGGGGGGAATTATGGCCTTTGGTAAAAGTACTGACAATATTAGTTCAACCTCAAATTAAGATGTTCAGTACAGTACCTAAACGTTGGCATATAGAATTTATGTAGCAGAAGAAATCTAGTGATTTTGTGTGTGTGTGTGTGTGTGTGTTTGTAATTATGGTAGCAGAATTATAATAACCTCATTTCATCTGTATAATTAAGTACCAATTAAGTATAGTACAAGATCAACATTGTGTTTAGGATCATGTTACTACATGAACTGGTACTATAATGTGTAGGTTTTTGCCTCCTACACCAGTGGTTCTCAACCTGTGGGTCGGGACCCCATTTGGGGTCGAACAACCATTTCACGGGGGTTGCCAAACAACGCAGTCCACCATTTTTTTCCCCTTTTCCTTAGCTGTGCTACTCCCTTTTATTTTATTGGCTTTTGAAAGCCAACAGAATTAGACTCTCTTGAATAGAGTCTAATTCTATTGGCTTTCAAAAGCCAATAGGAATTGTCCAGGCTGTCTCTGCCCTGCTGAGCCTGCCAAAAGTCCCATTCTGCAAACGGTGCTGCACCAGTTGAGTAGTCCTCTACTTACGACCGGTTGAGTAGTCCTCGACTTATGACCGGTTGGGGGTCGCGGCATTAAAAAGGTTGAGAACCACTGTCCTACACTATGCTTGAATGTAAGCTATTTTGGTTCTGAAAAGCTGTTGTAAGCAATTCTGAGGCACATTTTCCTATGGGACATTATGGAATCCTTAGGAAGAGCAGCAGCAAAGTGAAATCGATACACCTGTATAGCAGCTCCTGAGTTATGTGGCAGCAAACAGGTCTGAGAACGAGAACCCCACCACACCCCCACGTGCTACTGAATTCTTATCTCTTTTTTTTTATCCTTCATTTTAATTTGCCAGAGAACCTGAATACAAACATCAGAGCTGAGATAAACCACTGCCTTCATTAAAACACTTTGTAAGAGGGATGGTCTAATAACCAACTGAATTATTATTGCAGTTCAGAAAAAAAAAAGCCCTTGTGGAAATGTTGACAGTTGTAAGAATTTTTGTTTGTTCCTAATAATATTATCATGTTGCTTTTTTGTTTGTAATTGGGAAACCTAGTTGCTTGTATTTCTTGTTCTGTATGTCTAAAAAAAGTGAAGAGTAATATTCGTCAATCAATCAATCAGTCACGCTTATCACGATATATCTTCTGGGTTTTTAGTTCCTGCTTGAAGAGCAGGTGTCGGCTGTGGCTAGGAAGGGCTGTGCAGAATTGGTGTCTTTTTTTCTAGATCAGGAGGCCCTTCAGACAGTCACTCATAACCATAGTCCTCTTCAGGCTTGACTACTGCAATGCTCTTTATGTGGGGCTGTCCTTTAAGACCATCTGGAAGCTTCAACTGGTCCAGAATGTCGCAGCGTGAAAGTAATGGGCATGGCTTGGTATGCCTATGTAACACCTCTGCTTTGCAAGCTGCACTGGTTACCAGTTTGGCTTTGGGTGTGATTCAAGGTGTTGGTTGTTACCTATAAAGCCCTACATAGCATAGCCATATAGGGTCTGGTTGCTTGAGCGACTGCCTATCTCCCATATCTGCCAATCCTGTAGGGTTGGTGCTCTCTGGGCTTCTTAGATTAAACAATGCCATTGATCGGGATCCCAGAAGCACCTCTTCTCTGTAGCATATCCTGCTCTTTGGAATGATGTTGCCTCTAAGACCTAGATTGCTCTCTCTCTCTTTCTTTCTCTGCTGTTGTTCAGAAGAACATTAAACTTCTGGGTCTTCATCCACACTCTGCTGGTAAGGGAAAAGTCAGACCCCTCACTGCATTGCACTTGCCATCTTTTATCTTTTATTAATTTTATTCTCATTTATTCATTTGATTGTTGAGAGCTGCCGAAAGTCTTTGAGACTTAGGCATCACGAATAAAAATTTAATGCATTGTTATAGCTGCTGTTGTTATTATGGTTGGTCGCACAGTCAGCCAAATGTTTAGTGTGGATTTGGCATTTTTATCCAGTTGTTTAGTCCTTCCCAAGCACCTGGGATAGCAGGTATGGTAATAGGATGTAAGCTATTCCAAGTACAACTGACTTTTGCCATTGACTGATGGTGCTTTTGTCAATGTAATTTTTAGTATATTAATTGTGTTTATAATCTTTTGTCATTTTCTGTTCTTTCTTATTTTCTAAATTGGTTCCCATAACAATAACCCATGAGATAAGTGGGGTGAAAAGAAAATGCCTGCCCCCAAATCATCTAGTGAGCTGTGTGGTTGTGCGGGATTTCAGCCTGTGTGTCTCAGACAAGAGCAGGCTTGCGGAACTCTAAAGCACAATTCCCCAACCTTTCGGGATAGGTGGCCCGGAATGAGGGGGGGAGGGGAAAAAGAAGGGATGGTTTGTGTGTGTGGGGGGGTGAATGCATATGCATGTGTGCACACAAACACCTGTAGCTCACAAGTGGGGCTGTGAGTGCCCACAACGCTCATGTGAGTGGGGCTGCGAATGCCTGCGATGCTGTTGGTGATGCTCTCACTAGTGGGGCTGTGTTTGCATGCCTGCATACACGCACACACTGGCCAGCCACTCATATGGCCCAGTGGCCAATAGGCCTGGTAGTGGACTGCAACCCACAGGTTGGGGACACCTGCTCTAAAGGAGGAAAAAGGCGACAAAGGAAGAGCAGTTCCTTGGCAGTAGCATTGGCAGTGGCAGTGTCTGTGATGCTTGGAGATGTTGGTGTTGCTTGGCAGATATCTTTTGAGGTGGGAGGTGCTCTGAAAACCTGGGCAGAAATAACATATTCTTCCTGGTGGTGGCAATAATTGGCAGTAATGGATTGCTTATTTTTTCAGAACGTGCCATCGGGATGCATAAGGTTGTTTGACAAACTGCATATTGTGCAGGTCTGGACTATAGCACCAGAGGTTGTGTGGCACTTTGCATTCCTGAGTACTTTGGAAATGTAACTGATAGTAGGATTGCATTGCTAGTATTTCTTGGTT